TACAAATTTCCTTTGTAAATAAAACTTAACATTTGATTGAAAAATGTTCAAATATAAATAATGATATATTCTTAATAATTTTAAATAAATCTTAAAGAATTTGAAAAGAATAGATTACATTTATAACGTAATTCTAATGTAAATATTACAGTTAAATGTATACAAATACATTATATATACGTACATATAATGTGATATATAATGTCAAAATGTGTAAAAAAAAAAAACCTTACTGTTGAGCTCTACTAACTGTGTAATCAAAAATGATACATTCATCAAAGTCTTCAAGTCAGCCAATTGATTTTATCTTTTAAATATTTGTCTTTATTTCCCTTACAACGTGTTAAACCCATTGATGTGTCTGTTTGCTGTAAGTTTTTTTCTGACTCGTTTTACTTTGCAGCTCTCCTGTTGCTTTCTTTTCACTCTTTCATTTCCCCACTAGCTTTGCTCACTCTAATGTTTCCATTTTGCGCAGTTTATTTCAGAATCTGGTCCTCCTAGATTTCCCATTACTCCTTAAATCATGGCTTTTACCAGACATTTTTGTACCCATGTGAAAAATTGTGAAACAAGGAAGTGAAGTGATATGGTCACATTTACTTTATATCATTGTATCATCAATACGTCATTGCAGTAGCATGCATTTTCACCTCAGATTTAAAGTGGCATGCAAAACTACTTAGCTGTATCAAAAGAGTGTAAGAGATACCTTTATTGCTTGAGGTGATTAAGTTCCTCAAATAACAGACCGTTGCTACACAATAAAGGCTTTGATAAGTGTAGTGCTTGAATCTGAACTGAATGAAAAAGCATCTGGTTTGGAGTGAATGAGCTAAGTAGAAGCTTTCCACAAGTCAGATCTGCTTAATCTGTGTAAAGACATGTCTCGGACTTCCAGAACTGCTCATTTGGATGACTAATTACATTTCCATAACCGTTGCAATGCTCGGCTTGAGCTTGAGCTCCAGCTCTAGGACTTCTGGCAGGGAACAGGCTCTCCTCACCCATCTCCTCTTCTGGCACTCCGCCTCAGATCATTTATTGGTATGATCACATACTTGACAAGGTGGTCTGAACCCCAGATATTTTCCATGAATTTCTGTGATATATGTCAGGTAGTAGGAATGTTTTAAGTGTGGCCTTTCATAAAAATGCTTACAGCACCTTTAGTCTAATTAATCTAACAGTCAAAAGCTTAGATAGGGTCTTCAGTAAGATACTTCTTGCCTCTGCCCATGGCTGATTAGATGACTCGTTCAGTGGTCATGTGAACCTTGGGCTGTACATGAGCACTCTGAAACAAAGACTCGTTCAACTGATGAGTTAAGAATGAAGGGAGTTCTTTTTTTTTTCAAAAAAATAATGTTCAAATAACTTAATAAAAAATGACGTGACGTGGTAACCCATATTCGGAATTTGTGCTCTGTACATCCGGTTGGCCAAAAAAATTATTTATGTTGTCCCAATGAGAATGGATTATATAAACACTCAGTTTACAAATTCAAATTGATTGCATGTCATGTGCAATCGCATTGCATTAGCTCATTTTAGTTCACTAAATTAACAAGCGGCAAAAATCGTTTTTTGAGACTTGGTTTCTCTCTTTTTATTGGTCAAGAACTATGTCCTGATTCTGCAGGAGAAGGAAAGATGCTCCCGGGTTTATTGTTATGTTTTTGGAGCGTGTTTTTCCCCCTAGTCGAGGAGGAGAGGGCCTTCTGTCGCCACAGTCCTCTGCCAGCTCAGAGCTGCCCAGACAAACATGCTGTCAGTTGATTTAATGTGACTCGTTGCACAAGGCAAAGATAGAGTCAGCAGCAGTGCACCATTAAATCACTGCTCCCAACTCTGCTGGGAATATTAATCATTTTAGGTAGCCCCTCTTGGCCAGTTATTATCTTATGATCATCTATGACTAATTCAAATTATTTCCAGAGGTTTCTGTGCCTGCTGATGCTCATGGCTTTGTGTTGTA